AAAATAAAGTCTGTCACTGTTTCCACTGTTTCCCCATCTATTTGCCATGAAGTGATGGGACCAGATGCCACGATTTTAGTTTTCTGAATGTTGAACTTTAAGCCAACTTTTTCAGTCTCCTCTTTTACTTTCATCAAGAGGTTCTTTAGTTCTTCTTTGCTTTCTGCTTAAGGGTCGTGTCATCTGCTTTTCTGAGGTTGTTGATATTTCTCCCAGAAATCTTGATTCCAGCTTGTGCTTCATCCAGCCTAGCGTTTCTCATGATGTACTCTGCATATAAGTTAAATAAGCAAGGTGAGAATATACAGCCTGGACGTACTCCTTTCCTATTTGGAACCAGTATGTTGTTCCATGTCCAGTTCTGTTACTTCCAGGCCTGCAGACAGATTTCTAAGAGGCAGGTCAGGTGGTCTGGCATTCCCATCTCTTGAAGAATTTTCCACAGTTTGTTGTGATCTACACAGTCAACATCTTTGGCATACTCAGTAAAGCAGAAATAGGTGTTTTCTGGAACTCTCTAGCTTTTTCGATGATCCAGTGGACACTGGCAATTTGATCTCTGATTCCTCTGCCTTTTCTACATCCAGCTTGAACCTCTGGAAGTTCACAGTTCACATACTCTTGAAGCCTGCCATGGAGAATTTTGAGCATTACTTTACTAGCGTAGCATCAAATGCATTCAAACTTTGGGCAGCCATCACCATCATTCCAGTAGTTTATCTTCTTAAACTGAAACTCTGTCCCGACTATCATCAGTTCCCTACTCACTCCCCCTACCCCAGCCCCAGACACCCATGCTCTACATCCTATCTCTATGAGGGTGATGCTCCAGGCATCTCATATAAACTGGAATCACACCGTGTTTGTTCTTTTCAGATCGCCTGATTTCATTTTGCATAACGTCCTAAGGTTCGGTCATGCTTTAGAAAAGCAAAACTGATTTGACCTCCGTAACTTGCTCTGCCCCTGCAGTGAGACACAGGGCACAGATCCTCTGGTGAATGAAGGTGCCCCCTGACTGGCATTGTTGTACTCGGGCACAAGATGGAGAGGCTGGGGGAGGCAGCACCTTCCCGGGGGTGGCACCGGGAGGCTGTGCCCTGTCCAGCGCCTGGCCAATGTCCCGACTAGGTTGCTGAAGGGCAGGGTGGGGCCAGCGTCTCTCAGGGTGCCCCTGACACTGATACTTCCTCAGCAGGGGAAGGGTGTTCTGTGTGGCCCCAGGGTCTGGGAGCAGGGCTCAGTCTTGGGGTCTTTGGGGCTCACTCACAACAAGGTCCTTCCTGCCCCTCATCATGGTCATAGGACATCTGCCTCAAACTGGCATTCATGAAGAGCGTGGTGCAGGTCACCGATGCCATCAAGAACATCAAGGACCTGGAGGACTTCCAATTTGCCCCAAAAGGTGACCCTGACTGGCATTGTCATGGTAAGCCATGTGGGGGGATCCCTCAGTCCTGGGCAGTTTGGGGGTCTCACTCTGCTGACCAGAGGCCATCTGAGGCCCAAGGGGCGGCAGGGGTCTCTGAGTCCCCGCCTGTCTCAGTGCTGCTTTGACCTGACTGTTGGTGTTCTGCGTGTGACGTTCTTATATCTGATAAAGGTTTTCATGGCCAGGAAACATTCCGGAAGCCGGGGCTGAAGACCCCGCCCCCGAGCCCAGTGATGCTCCGAAGGTGTCTGGCTCTGGGCTAGGAGACAGAGCCCCACGGTCAGCCCCTGGCTAGCCCCAGCGTTTCTCCCCAGTCAGGACCAGGAGGTCGGGCTCTGACGTGGACAGGACTTAGAGCTACTTTTGCCCAGAACTTTGTTAAGATCTAGAAAGTACCAGCTGTGCAAAGGCAAGAGGCAGCGGCAGGGGCTCCTGAGGCTGTGGGTCAGCCCGTCCCTCGTCCCCAGACCTCTCCACTCGCCTGCGATGGAAACCCTGGCCCCTGGACACCCTCTGGCTGCCCTGGCAGCACCCTGGAGGGAAGGGAGATGAGGATGGTCAGGAGGCCCTGAGAAAGAAGCAGACATTCACTAGGCTCCTGCTCGGGGTCAGGCCACACGCAAGTAATTTCACAGCATCCTGGAGGGAATGGAGATGCAGACGGTCAGGAGACCCTGAGAAAGAAGCAGACATTCACTAGGCTCCCACTCGGGGTTGGGCCACACGCATGTAATTTCACAACAGCCTGGAGGGAAGGGAGATGCGGACGGTCAGGAGGCCCTGAGAAAGAAGCAGACATTCACCAGGCTCCCGCTCGGGGTTGGGCCACACGCATGTAATTTCACAACAGCCTGGAGGGAAGGGAGATGGGGATGGTCAGGAGGCCCTGAAAAAGAAGCAGACACTCACCAGGCTCCCTCTCGGGGTCGCGTCACACGCATGTAATTTCACAACAGCCAGGCACAGCCCTGTGAGCCAGGCCCCGAGTCCTCATTTCACACCTGAGCAAGGGCTCAGGCTGAGGAAGCGATTTTCCCAAGGACACACAGCCAGTAAGTGGCAGAGATGAGCGAGACGCACCTGCCCATCTTAGCCCCACTGCTCCCATGAGATTTGCTGCTTCCCTTGGGCTTCCATCGTGGCTCAGCTGGTAATGAATCCGCTTGCAATGTAGGAGACCTGAGTTTGATCCCTGGGTTGAGAAGATCCCCTGGTGAAGGGAAAGGCTACCCACTCCAGTATTCTGGCCTGGAGAATTCCATGGACTGTATAGTCCATGGAGTTGCAAAGTTGGACACGACTGAGCAGCTTCACCTAAAACGTCAAAGGCCAACTGACCATGAAAAGAATGAAGGCTGTGGTATCGGATCCCATTGTACAATGTCAGGTCCTCCTGCCTGTAACACAGGGCGTGCCCCTGCCATCTGTCCCCCAAGCCCCTGCCCTGGCCGTGGCGCGACTCCGGGTGGCTGGCGGCTCACTGCCCTGCTGTCCCGGCAGGCGATCATCAAGGCAGAACCGACTGACAGCCTGGTTTCTCCCGTGTGGACCATGGCCATGGATGCCCTGTCATACTTGAGGTGAGCCGGGCCCCTGGCCAGGCCCCCAGTGCCGCCCTGGGCTGCAGACAAAGTCTGAGACCACCTCTCGGTGCCTTTGGGGGAAGGCTGCACCTCCTTTGGGGCTTCCCTGGAGGCTCGGACGGTAAAGAATTTGCTTGCAATGCAGAAGACTCAGGATCTATCCCTTGGTCTGGAAGACCCCCTGGAGATGGGAATGGCAACCCTCCAGATTCTTGCCTGCAGAACCTCATGGATGGGCTATAGTCCATAGGGTCAAAAAGAGTCAGATTTGAACACTTTCACTTTAAACAAAATGACTGGATTTGGGTAGGAGTGGGAGGGCCCGGAAAGATGAAATACAGGACCCCTTTGGAGGGCAGGAGTTTAGAGTTTAAGTGGAGGGTGGCTCTCCCTTCTGAAGGCAAAATAGAGCCAATGAGGAGCTTGTAACAATCCTGCAACCCTGCCCCACCAAAGACTTCAACAAGGATCCCTGGACCTGGGCATGGGCCCTGGGGCCCTTAGAAAGCTCTCCTGTGACTCGAATATGCAACTAGGCTTGAGATCCACCTATGAAGGGAACAGAAAGAGAATCAGCTGGTGTGCATCACGCAGCTAGCTACTACCACCAAAGGTTTATTAAAACACAGATGGCCTCCATTCCAGACGTTTTTTGGTTTTTTCTAAGGTTTTTTTTTATGTGGACCATTTTTTAAAAAGTCTTTATTGAAGTTGTGTTACAGTATTGCTTTGGTTTCATGTTTTGGCTTTTTGGCCATGAGACATGTGGGATCAACCCTGCCCCCCTGGCACAGCACAGCAAAGCCTTAACCACTGGACCGCCAGGGGAGTCCTCCACTCCAGAGGTTGTGATTCAGCAGCTCTGAGGTGGAGACACAGAATTTGCATTTTCTAATAAACTCCAAGGGGATGCTGCTGCTGCTCCTGGGCCAGGTATTACAGTTGAAAACTCCTGGGCCAGGACCACCCAGAAGCAGAGTCTGTGGCCGCAGTCAGGGAGGACCAGTGGAATGTTTCTGAACAGCAGAGAGAGAGAGACTCAGAGCAGACAGTGATAGGAGAGGTGGCTGTGGACGCCTGCGTCTCCCCTTCCGTCACAGACAGACAGTGGACTGGAGCCCTGGTGGGTGGAGCCAGGGCCCTTGGGGAGGGACAGATGCCTGAACCCCCAAACAGAGAAGCTGGCCCCTCCCTCAATCTGTGACGTGGCTCCTCCCACCGCCCCCCAGACTGGGCAGAGCAGGGTCTCAGTTCCCCACTGATCACTCCTCTTGTCACTTCTTTCTCTAGCAAACTGAAGCCTTTCTACTCCACAGAGGAATGCAGTGAGCTGATGGATATTAGTATACACTCTGTAATTTCTCTCCAGCCCCCAGGAGAGAGCAATGCGTCCATTAAGGTAGGTCCCTCTGCGCCACCTCATTTTCTGGGTGAGGACTTGGAAGTTGACGTTCACATGGGCAGTGCTGGGAGCCCACCGTTCTGGACCACCTGGGAGTGGTCAGGGCAGCAAAGTACAGCAGGCTCTTTCAGTAAGTGTAAGGTGATGCTGGCTGCTGCAACAGATACACACTGAAGTCTTCATGGTTTAACAAGATGACCGTTTTTCTCACTCGAAGTCCAGCTGGCAGCAGAGGTGGAGAGGGGGCTGCTTCCTGCAGCTGATCAGGGCCGTGGGCTGACAGGTGAGGACACGCTCAGATCTCATTCCTTGCCATGGACTCCGCTGGGGACAACACTGCAGGTGGGGCTGAGGTGAGAGGAATGAGGAAGCTGGTGACTGGAGGGGAATGCCCCCCAGCTCAAACAAAGCAGGTTTTTGAGGGGAAAACAAGACAGAACAAAACACTACAGCCCTCAGGTCTGGACCAGCCAGCCGACTCCCCTCCCAGAGCGCGGTGGGCAGCCTCAGGCCTACCTGGCCTCAAGCAGGCTGTCCCCGGAGTGCCCTCCCTGTCTGAACGGCCCTGCCTCTGGGAACCAACCTTCTCCAGGGAGGGGCTGTCGAAGCTCTCCACCTGGTTCTTCAGCTCTTTGCTCAGACGCAGGCTCCAGCGGGAACCCCGAGGCATCTTGAGGGAGTTTCTCAGAAACTGGGGGTGGGGGGAAGAAGGCACAGGTGGGCAGTGCTCCAGAGGGCTGTGCTCCTCGAGCCGTGACTCTCCCTCTCCAGCGCCTTCCCCGGTCTCTAGAGGGCTTCGCCCTTTCAGCCCTGACCCAGCCTTGTGCTATGCGGACTTGGGGGCTGCCGGGAGGGGTCACCCTGTGCTGCCTCCGGGGCTTGGGCTTCCAGGGTGGGGTCTCCTGCTGGAGCTGCTTGTCCTCCCCCAGTCTTGTGACAGGAGGGGAACGTGTCCCCTGGGGGCTCCTGAACTCCCCCCACGCCAAACCCACAGAGAGCTGCCCCCACCGCCCCCCACCCCGGCCTCAGGTGGCGGGATCACCTCTACCTGAATCAGCCTGTCCTCCCACGTCTTCTGGTTCCAGGTAAACTCGGTGTGTTCTGCAGAGAGAAGGGCCACCCCTGCTCCTCTCTTCTGAGGCTCCTCCACGCCGCCTCCTAAATGCAGCATCTGGGGTCCTCCGTGGACGGGCTCCCCACAGCCCCACGTCCCTCCCCACCCTCCCAAGGAGCAGAGTAGGCTGTGCCGGCCACCTGGAGCCCGGGCGCCTTTGCTCAGGCCACGTGACTGGTTCTCGGCATGTACAGTGATGTGAGGTGGCCACACACCCCGGCTCCTTTGCTCAGACCAGCTGGTGAGTACCCGGCATGTACACTAGGGGTGTGTGGGGGGATCACACATGCACTCGGGCTCCTTTGCTCAGCCACAGGTCTAGCACCCGGCGGGTACACTTAGGGGCTGATTCACACACACACCGGGGGCATCTTACCTTCCAGGTACTTGACCAGCAGCGGGATCTCCAGCTCCCACATGTCAGCCATGGAGGAGGTGATGCTCTGGCTCAGGGTCTTCAGAAGGTGGAGCATGGCGATTCCGCAGCCCTCCCCATTGGAGGGGGATGACATCAGTACCTCGGGAACACCGAGACTCCAGTGAGGCCCCTCGCTGGCTGGGCAGCCCCAGGCCCCGCACGCCCCAACCTGGGGCCTCGCTGTCCGAGGCCATAAAGGGAGAGTTGCACAGGATGGGGCCTTTCAAGCAGAGCTCCGAGGATTCCCAGGATCAGAGCATCCCTGCAGAGGATGCTGAAGGCAGGAAAGGAGACACGAGAGCATGCGCTCCCTCCCACCCTGGGTTCCATGGAGCTTGGAGCAGGGTCAACACAAGGAGGAGGATGCATGGTGCAGGGCGGAGCTGACCCCCAGGGAAGGGCAGATTGCTGACAGAGTCCTGCGGATGCTTGGGGCCATTCAAAGGCCCAGCAGAGAAATCTGGGAGCCTTCTGCCCTTGCCATATCTCCCCAGAGGGACGATGGGGGCCTGGAAAGCTCTGTCCTGCCAAGCATCCAGCTCCCTGCTCCCCCTGGAGGCCCCGGGGATTAGGAGCTCATGGGAGGGGCACCTCAGGACACAGTGGGGGCCAGGCCAGTGCACGACCCATGAGCCACTCACCAGGAGTCGGGCCAGCAGCTTCTGTGGTGCGGGCAGGTCCACTGGGGAGAGAAAGATAAAGCACACTGAGGCTGCCCCGCTCCCGTACCGTGGGGGAGCTTCCCCTGCAAGGTGTTGCCCCAACAGCATCCAGTGCCCCCCAGAATGCAGGAGGAGTCAGGACGGGAGATTTTTCACAAAGAACATCATTACAACTGGCCATCCCGGGAGAAAGGTGCCTGGTGCTACATGCTGGGGCTGAGACGATGCTTTTTTTCCCCCCAATTTATTTATTTATTTATTTTAATTGGAGGTTAATTACTTTCCAATATTGTGGTGGTTTTTGCCATACATTGACATGAATCAGCCATGGGTGGACATGTGTTCCCCATCCTGAACTCCCCTCCCACCTCCCTCCCCATCCCACCCCTCAGGGCCAGCCCAGGGCACCAGCCCTGAGTGCCTGCCCTGTTTCATGCATTGAATCTGGACTGGCGATCTATTTTACATATGGTAATATACATGTTTCAGAGCTATTCTCTCACATCATCCCACCCTCGCCTTTTCCCACCAAGTCCAAACGTCTGTTCTTTACATCTGTGTCTCTTTTGCTGTCTTGCATATAGGGTCATCGTTACCATCTTTCTAAATTCCATATATATGCGTGCATATACTGTGCTCTTTGCAGGAGGTGCCCGCTTGGGAGTGCACACCCGGCTGGTCTGAGCGTGTTTCTCTCCTACTGTGAGGCTTGGTCTCCTTGAGCCAACAGTAACTAGACACCGCCCCCTCCCCTCCCCTCCCTCTGCAGGCTTTGGGAGGCTGTGAGCCCACGAGTAGGGTGCTCACAGCATTTGGACCAGAGGGCCAGGGAAGGTCAGGCCTGCTGGAAGCTGCAGGGAGGGGCGGCACCCAGGAAGGAGCCAGCCCTAGACTCAGGGTCGGGGCAGGAGGCAGACCAGGGGTGGTCTAGCCGGATGCTCAGAGCAGGCTCTGTCCCTACCATCGCTGGGTCCTGTAGGCTCGCAGTCACCTTCTGTCACTGGCCACATGCATCCTCAAAGCCCCAGGACCATGGCAGCAGCCCCCTGGGACAGCAGGGTCCCCGTAAGTAGGTTGGTCTAGTCCCTTTCTTGAGGGTCTGGTGCTAACAAGTGGGTCATCACGGTGAGTCGGAGGGCCTGGTGGGGGTGGTTCCAGAGGACTCGGATGGGATATACAGTCCTTCCAGTGGGCTCACAGGGGCCAAAGAGCTCACACCTGCAGGAAGCCTGATCCAGGACTGCTGCCTTGGGGTCTGGGTCAGGGTGGGCTGCCAGAGGAAGTGTGCATAGCTTTAACCTCCTCGGATTTTGGCAAGGGCGGCCTCCTTGGCAAGGCCTGGCTCTCTGGGCTCCAGGCTGCTTCCTGGAGAAGGGGGAGCGGTCTGAGGCACCGGGCAGCCCACCTGCCCAGTCCCTCCAGCTGGCGCAGGGGGGCTGCCCACCGTGCCTGCTCTTGCTTGCGTTGGCCTGCTCGTCCTTGGCGTGCAGCTGGTTCTCGGCCAGGTTGGTGAGGCCGCCGCAGATGGGGGTCAAGGCCTCCGTGTAGTCCGTCTCCATGATGCAGCACAGGACCCTCCCCCAAAATCCCTGTGGGGGCGATGGGGGCAAGGTGGGGGTGCTGGGGTCAGCCAGCCTGGGCAGCGCACAGCCCTGCGATGAGATGGTCGGTCCCTCCCCACCCCGACAGCCTTGTCTCAGCCTCGCTTCTCCAGAACCGCACTCCGACCCACTGACTGACCGCCTCAGGCCCGCCGGCTCTGCTGTGCAGCCTGGGTCTCGGCCAAGGCCGTCTAAGCTGCACCCACCCCATGGCCGAGGGGCTCAGCTAGTCCTGGGCCCTTGACCTCTGTGCCCGCTGGCCTCACTCCAACCCCGCAGCCAGCACATCCTCTTTGACCAGCCCTCCCTCTAACCCCCAATCCCCTAGAGAGGCACACTGGGCAGACAACCTAGCCATGCTTGCCAACTGTGATGATTAGTTTCTATGTGCTAACTTCGCAAGTGAATGCACACAGTTATTCAATCAAACACTAATCTAGGCATGGCAGTGAAGCTATCTTGATGCAATCTGATGAAAGTCCATAATCCATATAGGAGGTTACTCTGGAAAATGTGAGTGGACTTGATCAATCTGTTGAGGGCAAAAAGCAGGCTTCCCTGAGGAAGAAGAGAGTTTGCCTCCAGGTTGCAGCCTCCGCGACTGCCTGTTTTCAGCCTGCTGGCCTACCTCCTAAACTTCAGACTTGTCAGCTCACAACTGCACAATACATATGTTGTTGCTCAGTTCCTCAGTCATGTCCGACTCTCTGTGATCCCATGGACTGCCGCTTGCCAGGCCTTCCTGTCCTTCACCATCTCCCACAGTTTGCTCAAACTCATGCCTATAGAGTCAGTGATGCCATCCAATCATCTCATCCTCTGTTGTCCCCTTCTCCTCCTGCCTTCAATCTTTCCCAGCACCAGGGTCTTTCCCAGTGAGTCGGCTCTTCCCATTAGGTGGCCAAAGCATTGGAGCTTCAGCTTCAGCATCAGTCCTTCTGATGATTATTCAGAGCTGATTTCCTTTTCCATTGACTGGTTTGAGCTTCTTGCTGTCCAAGGTACTCTCAAGAGTCTTTTCCAACACCACAATTCTAAAGCATCAGTTCTTTGGCACTCAGACTTTTTTCTGGTCCAACTATCTCATCTGTATAGGACTCCTGGAAAAACCATAGCTTTGACTATACAGATCTTTGTCTGCAATGTAATGTCTCAGCTTTTTAATATGCTGTCTAGGTCTGTCATAGCTTCTCTTCCAAAGAGCAAGAATCTTTTAATTTCATGGCTGCAGTGACCATCTGTAAAGATTTTGGAGCCCAAGAAAATAAAGTCTGTCACTGTGTCCATTGTTTCCCCATCTACTTGCTGTGGAGTGATGGGACCGGATGCCATGATCTTCATTGTCTAAATGTTCAGTTTTAAGTCAGCCTTTTCACTCTCTTCTGGCACCTTCATCAAGAGGCTCTTTAGTTCCTCTTTGATTTCTGCCATAAGGGTGGTGTCATTTGCATATCTGAGTTTATTGATATTTTTGAGATACACACAGAGACACCCACACACACACACAGACACACACACACATCTCCTACTGGTTCTATTTCTGTACAGGTTCTCCGAGCCATGACTCTAGCCTTTCAACTTCCCCCTGCCATCTCCCGTCTCGCCAGGTGATCACTGAACGCCCCCAGCGACCCTGACTCCGCTCAGCCCCCCTCCCACCCCGAGGAGTCTGGGGGGAGCTCCGGTGCTACTGACAGGGAGTGTGCTTGGTGTGCTGCAGCCATCGGGACCAGAATCCCTGGCTGCTGGGTTCCCCCAGGGACGTAGCAGAATGAACAGGAAAGACCATTTTATCCTGGCTCCACTTTTTACCAGCTTAGAATCCTTGAGGAAATTAATGAGTCCCTTTGAGCCTCAGTTTCCTCATTTATAAAAGCTAGGTAATAATAACAACAGACCTTACCTCACAGGGTGGTTGGGATAATTAAATAAGATTCTGGATACTACACATCTAGTACAGTGCCTGCCACGTGTACTCAATGAATTGTAACCACTATTATTATTTTTACTATAACTATTATTCTTGTAATTAAGAGAAGCTGCCACTGGATGGGGAGCATCTGGCCCACGGCCTCAATTAACAGACAATGGTTACCTCCATATGCAGTCATGGTAAACTTCCCTATCTTACTGCTATGTCACATTGTAATGCAATTGAAAACTGACACATTTGTTCCCCTAAAGCCTGTGAACAGCTTGGGGTCACACTGAGCCTTCCTGTGTATGCCCGGATGCCTCACACAGAGTTGGAACTCGTGAGTGTTTGTGAAATATAACGCCTAGAGTCACTTATTTGCACATGCACACATGTACACACATGTATGCATATGCATGGGCTCCCTGAGTGGCTCTGGTGGTGAAGAATCGGCGTGCCAATGCAGAGGACAGGTTTGATCCTTGATTCTGGAAGACCTTCTGGAGGAGGAAATGGCACTCCACTCCAGTATTCTTGCCTGGAAAATTCTATGGGCAGAGGAGCCTGGTGGGCTGCAGTCCATGGGGCCACAATGAATCGGACATAACTGAGTGACTGAATACATGTGCGCGCGGGCACACACACACCCCTGGACTGAGGGGCTTTAAGGTGATGGATGCATTTCAAGCAATAAGTCAAGTGACATGTATTAGGCCTACTGTGTGCCAAGCACTGCCCTGCTGAAGGTAATAAGGTCCCATGAAGGAAGTGAATCTTGAAAAACGAGCTCAGGCAATTGAAAGATCTGGGGCCGCCCATCCTCCCGGGTAGTGGGAATGGGAGAAGCAACAGTGCAGAATTCTGGGCCTGTGCTATCCTCCCCGCACAGCCTCGCACAGCACACACATGAGCCATCAGCCCCAGTGGGCCAGCCCAGTGAGCCAACTCACATTGCTCATCCCACTGACAGAAGAGGTTATGATCCTCACGGTGTCCATGGGGACACTGTGGGCCATCTTCTCCTCTAGGCCCCTCTGATAAAAGTTGTCCCTGCGGTTGGTCTGGAAGACAGAACCAAGGAGTGCCTGCTTGTGGGCCGGCAGGGGCTTGCCATGGTCTCAGCTGTGGTTTACTTTCCCGCAAGAGGCTTACACCCAGATACTGAGTCTCCTGGAAGCCCAGAGCTGTGAACGGGTTTCACTGTTTTCTAGACCCCTGGCAGCTTACTCTGTGTGTGCGCTTGTACATGCATGCAGGTTCATTGAGCAGTGCTCTCTCCTCAGCGCAGTGGGAACCATTCCTAAAGCCCAGCCACTACGCCGTCACTCACCAGTTTGTAGGTGGAGAAGGTCAGCTGCACAGACACGTACTTCAGGCCCCAGCCTTTGATCCTGTCCTGGAATCCAGACAGGGCCAGCTGCCCGATGATGCGGAGCATGGCCATCCTCACCTGAGAGGCCAGAGCACAGACACGCTGGGCGCTAGAGGTTCCGCCGGCACCCAATCCCATGACAGGAGACAGCTAAGATTTGAGGGTGCTGTGGTCTGGAAGGGGTCTCTGGGGCTACCTGATGCTGCCCACTCTGTCCACCACCGCCTGCCTCATCCAGGGGACCCCGCTCAGCAGCAGGTCTACCCAGGAGCCTCATCTGTGCCCTTCAGAGACATGAGCACACTGCTTTCTCGGTGGGGCTGCTCCATCCTCAGGCGGCCCTGGTGAGAACCACCTGCCTCTTCTCTCGGGCTCCCCGGGGTTCATGCGTGGGGACGACACAGAACAAGCCTGTTCCCTCTGCCCCGACATCCTCCAGGGACTGAAGACAGCTCTGCCTCAGGCTCAAGACTGAGCATCCTGTTCCCTCCCTGGTTTGTGCAGACCATCACCATCCTGAACTGCACCCCCAGGACATGAGGGGTCAGCCGCAGGGGCCGTGTCCAGAAGCCAAGCTATTCTCCAGGGGGCTGAGGCTGCAGTGGCCAAGATGGTGGGTTTTAGCCTTTATTTGCAGACTTGCTTCTCTCAAATGTGGTAATGACCTTACAAAACACCTAGCTAACCAAGCAGCTTGGGCTGACGCTGGGTTTGTGTGGCCTCTCCTCTCTCAAGGGTAGTGTCAGAGACCCATCAGAGGAAAACTCCAGGTTCTTGGTGACAGGGAGGGTCTCAGGAGAGGGGCCACAGCTTCGAGGAGCCTTATTCTTCTCCAGCCCCACTCAGGACTGGCTGGAAAGGTAGGTTTTCCATCAAAGGGCCTTCCTTGAGAAGGCAGCCTCGCCTCCACGCACAGAGCTGGAGGGGAGGGGTGGCAAGCAGGCTGCAGCTGATGGAACAAGGCGCCCTGACTTCCCTCCACTTGCCCGGCATAGCCCAGCACACACTCCCTTTCTGGGTCTCCCCGCCCAGTTACCTTGGACCAGGTGTCGGAGAGTGTGTTCTTGACCACTTGGATGGCCAGGGAGATGGTCCTGATGCTCATTCTGGGCTCTGAAAGAGGAAAGCCCGCCTGGAGGTCCACTGGCCTCAGGGCTGGGCTCTGAGGAGATGCCCAGAAGTGGTGAGGCCTCTCTGCCACCTTCCACGGGAGACAGAGGATCAGGACCCGTCCGTGCCATGCCTCCTGAGAACCTCTGACTCAGCCCCACAAGCTCAGGGCCGCTGCCCTCAGAAGTCACCCGGCGCTCTCAATGCCCACCCACCCCAGCCCAGGGGGTCGTCTCTAGGCATCACTCCCTCGGCCTCTGCTCCGCGTGTGTCTCTTTGGAAACTAGGGGACTCGCCCTGAGGGCAGGGTCTCCTCCTGAGAGCTCGGTGGTCCCCTCATGGGAGACACAGGGCCAGACACACAGCGGACACACGCAGACCACCCCGCCCGGCTGCGGAGGCCGGGGCTCCGGGGCCAGGCTGCTGCGCTGTCTCTGGCTCCACCGCATCCCACTGTGTGACCGCGCGGGACTTACTCAGGCCCTCTGAGCCTCAGCTCCCCGCCCTGTGACAGGCAGACACTGAGAGCGGGTCCCTCCCAGCCTCTGTGGGCAGTGACACGAGCTGACACACACGGGGCCTGGTGTGCAACAGTGTGAGTGTGTGCTGGAGGGAGGATGAGGAGGAAGATCAGGGAGGTAAGGAAGGGCGCGGAGAAGGCTCTCGACAGGTCGGCGTGGACACATCCACAGTCAGGCGCTCAGGGCCTTGCTACACTCAAGTCTAGGTGCTACTAGACGTCACCGCAGGAGGGGGAATAACAGGAAATCAGGTCGGGGTGGAAGATGTGGGAATTCAGGCAGCAAGGGACGATGTTACACTTAAGAGCTTTTCATCTCTAAAATGGAAACCTTTCTTTCTGATTATAAAAATAGTCTATGTTCACTGAGAAATTAAATTAAAAGACAACCAGCCTTCATGGTTTAGGTCTATCCTTCTCAACTCACTTATGCATAAATGAGCACCTAGATTTCTTTCACATCACAGAGGTCATGGAGGTGGAGGTGATGGAATTCCAGTTGTCCTATTTGAAATCCTAAAACATGATGCTGTGAAAGTGCTGCACTCAATATCTCAGTAAATTTGGAAAACTTAGCAGTGGCCACAGGACTGGACAAGGTCAGTTTTCATTCCAGTCCGAAAGAAAGGCAATGCCAAAGAGTGCTCAAACTACCACACAATTCCACTCATCTCATATGCTAGTAAAGTAATGCTCAGAATTCTCCAAGCCAGGCTTCAGCAATATGTGAACTGTGAACTAGATGTTCAAGCTGGTTTTAGAAAAGGCAGAGGAACCAGAGATCAAATTGTCAACATCTGCTGGATCACTGAAAAAGCAAGAGAGTTATCTACTTCTGCTTTATTGACTATGCAAAAGCCTTTGACTCTGTGGATCACAACAACCTCTGGAAAATTCTGAAAGAGATGGGAACTCCAGACCACCTGACCTGCCTCTTGAGAAACCTGTATGCAGGTCAGGAAGCAAGAGCTAGAACTGGACATGGAACCACAGACAGGTTCCAGATAGGAAAAGGAGTACGTCAAGGCTGTATATTGTCACCCTGCTTATTTAACTTATATGCAGAGTACATCATGAGAAACGCTGGGCTGGAGGAAGCACAAGCTGGAATCGAGGTTGCTGGGAGAAATATCAACAACCTCAGAAAAGCAGATGACACCGCTCTTATGGCAGAAAGTGAAGAAGAACTAAAGAGCCTCTTGATGAAAGTGAAGGAGGAGAGTGAAAAAGTTGGCTTAAAGCTCAATATTCAGAAAACTAAGATCATAGCATATGGTCCCTCACTTCATGGGATAGATGGGGAAACAGTGCAAACAGTGGCTGACTTTATCTTTCTGGGCTCCAAAATCACTGTAGATGGTACTGCAGCCATGAAATCAGAAGACACTTACTCCTTGGAAGGAATTTTATGACCAAACTAGATAGCATATTGAAAAGCAGAGACATTACTTTGTCAACAAAGGTCTGTCTAGTCAAGGCTATGGTTTTTCCAGTGGTCATGTATGGATGTGAGAGTTGGACTGTGAAGAAAGCTGAGCACCAAAGAATTGATGCTTTTGAACTGTGGTGTTGGCGAAGACTTGTGAGAGTCCCTTGATTGCAAGGAGATCCAACCAGTCCATCCTAAGGGAGATCAGTCCGGGGTGTTCATTGGAAGGACTGATGTTGAAGTTGAAAATCCAATACTCTGGTCACCTGATACAAGGAGCTGACTCCTTTGAAAAGACCCTGATGATGGAAAAGATTGAGGGCAGAAGGAGAAGGGGGCAACAGAGGATGAGATGGTTGCATGGCATCACCGACTGGACGGACATAGGTTTGGGTGGTCTCCAGGAGGTGGTGATGGACAGGGAGGCCTGGTTAGCCACGGTTCATGGGGTCATAAGGAGTTGGACATGATTGAGCGACTGAACTGAACTGAAAGAGTGAGACATGACTGATAAAGTTTCACTTTCACTGTTGCTTAAATTTGCATTTCTGTAAAAGATGGGTTTACTGTCAGGAGAATGTCTCTCACATACAGTTGCTCAGCCTGTGTACTGCACAAGGATAAGTAGCTGAAGGGCTGAACTGATGCCAACCGAGCACTTCTCAGGGCTTCCCGGGTGGCGCTAGTGGAAAAGAACGCTCCTGCCAATGCAGAGACGTGAGAGGTGTGGATTTGATCCGGGGGTCAGGAAGACCCCCCTGGAGGAGGAAATGGCAACCCACTCCAGTATTCTTGCCTGGAGAATCCCATGGACAGAGGAGCCCGGCGTGTTGGGAAACAATGGGCGGGACTGCATCGCCTGAGCTCAGCACATGTGCTTCTCCAGCCATGCAAGACCAGCCGCGGCCAGCAGAGGGCGCCGCGTTCACATTCAAGCGGACGCTCTCTGCGCCGGCGCTCTGGGCAACAGCGTGTCCCTGGGGGTCGCTAGGCCGGGCTTGGGGGCTGGGCTGAGGGGATTCGGAAGCAGGGTTTCAGACTAAGCTTAGGCACCGGGTCAACGGGGCTTCAGGGCACATCTATACTGTGTATCTAGGCTTTATAGGCAGCCTTCCAGCTAGCTTTGGGAGCTATACTAGGATTTGTGCGAATGGTTTGAAATTCAGGCTCAGGCAGAAGCTGGGATCAGGGCTGAAGGAGAGGGGCGAGGCCGTGGAGGGTGGGACACAAGGCTGCTTAGGTTCAAGAACGGGAAACGGAGCCCCGGAGAGCCCTGACTCCGCGGCCCACCCAGCAGGGTCTACAGAGAGGAAATGGCCCAGGCACTTCCCCGGCAGTCCAGGGGCTAAGACTCCGTGCTTCCATCGCAGGGAGCATGGCTTCGATCCCGGGTCAGGGCACTCAGGTCCCACATGCCGCCGCAGGGTGCGGCCAAACAGTTAAGGGGAAAAAAGGCCAGATACGACTGACACCTTCCACCCTTGCTCCCGCCCGGTCTCCCTGCGGGGTGAGTGCTCACCATCTGTGCTCACCACTGTCCCGATCAGGGCCAGGGTCCCCACGCGGACGGCCTCCTTGCTCATCTCCATCTGACTGAGGAAGAACTGCATCAGCTCCTTGGGGTAGGAGCGGGCTGCAGGGGTGAGGGGAAAAGACAGCTTCAGTCGTGCCCTGAGTCAAGGGCGGCAGCGGGACAAGGCAGCCGCGGGGCCCGGCGCTCAGAGGGGGCCGGCACTCCCGAGGGCTCCCGGGGGCGCCTCACCAAGGGCTATGAAGCAGTGCACGATCTCCGCCAGGTTCTGGCTGCTGAACCGCTGCTGGGTGGGGTCCCTGGAGCACACCTGGGGAGGGGCGGGCAGGGGGGTGGAGAGGTCAGCCCCGCGGCGGGGCACACGGGCAGGAGCCCCACCTGTGCCTCGCCCCCCGGCAGGAGGCGGGAGGCGGGCATTGTACGGGGCCCCACCGCCACCCTGGCACCCGTTGCGCTGGTCGGGACACGACTCGGCCCCAGCGCACCTCCCCTGACCCGCCCCCATTGCACCTCCCCTGACCCGCACTGGGGAAGTCCACGCCCCGCGCGGCCCAGGGGCTCACCTGGACATGCAGCTCCGTGAAGATGGTGTGCAGCTGCATCTGCGGGACTGGGCTGTTGGTGATGAAGGACATCTCCAGGATCTGCCTCAAGACCTGTCACAGGTGGGAAACGGTGGCAGGTGACCTTCGACCGACTCAGGTCAAACGCCAGACCTTTGCCCCTTGAAGTTCCCCCTCTGGATGTATCTGTATCCCCTGGGAGCTGGGCAGAGAAGCCACCTCTCAAGCCCCGCCCAGACTCTCTAGTCCCACTCTATTTCCAGCCGCCTCTGAGGATTGCTGTGGACACTACAGCTCGGCAGGGCTGCACTAGGGCCTCCGAGTGTGGTGTTCAAGGCCTTCTTCCCCTTTCTCCCCTAGCCACCTAGAGGTGCATCCCAACTTTAGACAGAAGGTCTGCACGTGGCTCCCCAAATGCGGCACGTTTATTTCTATTCCCAGCTCTCACCAGGAGAAGGGCCTCGCCTCGTCTTTAAATGAGTGACCCCCTTCATAATATACAGCACCCCAGGTCACAACTCGGCTCAGAATCTTGCAAAGACTCCATCTCACACACATCCAAGGCTGGTAAGACATCGAATGGTGTCCCCCGCCGCCAGAATCCATGTCCACCCACAACCTCAGAATGTGAGCTCACTTGGAAATAGGGTCTTTGCAGACCTAATTACTTAAGGCTCTCAAGATGAGATCACCCTGACAATGCCTTACATCCAAGGACCAGTGTCCTTGTGAGAAGAGGAGAAGACAGAGAGAGACACAGAGATGGCCATGTGACCACAGAGCGGGGTACTGGAGTGACACAGTGCCTGGGCCACCAGAAGCTGAAAGAGGCAAGATTCTCCCCTAGAGCCTACAGAAGGACCTTAGCCTGCCGACACCTTGATTTTAGACTGCCGGCCTCCAGAACCACGACAGACACATCTCTGTGGTTTTAAGCCACCTGCCTCCTGGCTCTTTGCTGCGACAGCCTCAGGAAAGCGCTATGAGAGCAGTGGCCTCACTGTGGGCCCCAGAGCCCTCTCAGGCATCATCCTTTCTGCCTGGCTTCTCTGCGGGCTCAAAGAATCTGCGTGCAACACGGGAGACCCGGCTTTGATTTCTGGGCCAGGAAGATCCTCTGGAGAAGGAACAGGCAACCCACTCCAGTATTCTTGCCTGGGAAATCCCACGGACCGAGAATCCTGGCGGGATACAGTCCACGGGGTCGCAAAGAGTCGGACATGACTGAGTGGCTAACACATGTGTCACAGCAGCATATATTTCTTGGAAATCGGACAAGTGCCAGGTCCCGTGGCTACATCTCCCACCCGTGAGAACACCCCACGGGACACTCAGGAGCCCTAAAGACCCTGAGCCCCCAGCCAAGGCCCCTCACCCGCATGATAAAGAGTGCCTCCAGGCTGCCCTGGTACCCCGCCAGCAGCAGAGGGATGGAGTCATACGCCTGGTCCCGCAGGGCATCGCTGGGCAGCAGGAGGTTCAGCATGGGCTTCAGGGACTTGATGACCCCCAGCTTCACCTAGCACAGGAGCCTGGTCTCTAGACCCCTCGGCCAGGACCACCAGGAAGGTCCTGTGACATCAGCCCCAGCCTCGGAATCAGGGACAGGTGACTGAGGGGACCTTGGAGTAGGGTCCAGGCCTCCCGCGGGCCCCCCAGCTGCCAAGCCTGTCCCCCAAGTCCTGACTCTCACTCAGGACACCTTGGACAGGTGCTCAACCTCTCCATGTCTCTGTTTCCTCATTTGTAAAACGGTCCTATGACCCGGAGGTGGCATGGAAATGGCCCCCACAAGTGAACCGCTTGGAGAGTGCCCGGCACACGTGGAACAGGGACCCTGGTCCAGCAACTCCAAGGGCCTTTATCAAGACACCCGCAGGGCCCCCCTGGCTCTGCCGATCAGGTCTCCACCTCCTTGGACCCAGTGGTGTCTCAGTCCGGCCGGCTGCACAGGCTGCAGAGCGATGACCCGAGGACCACGGGCTCCCACCCCCACCCGGGAGGGCCCGCTCACCTCCGGGGTGTTGTTCCGCAGCCACACCGTCACGAAGTAGCGATACACGGGGAACAGCTTCAGCGCAAACTGGTCCTCAGTCATCACGGGGTACACGCTGTCCTCCAGGGCCTCAGGTAAAACTGCACCGTCTCGCAGAAGGTCTCCATGGCTGCCCCGGGGCACGTGCAGTGAGCCCGGAGGGCCAGGACGCAGAACAGAGCCTTCCGGGGCGCCTTCTGAGGAGGAGCCCTCACACTTCCATAACCAGCAGGTTACAGAGATGGCCAGAGATGCTGCTAGAAAAGTCTCCTGCAGCCCTCGCCATCTGCCTTTCCAACCCGCCTCTCAGCTCCTTAAGTTTGGTCCTGCATGAAGCCCCTCCCTGTCTGAGGGTGAAAGACTCCCCCGGGGGGTGGAGCACACACGTGTGACTGGGCCCCCAGCCTTGAGGTTCATGTTGCAAGGTCAAGGGTGAGACCTCGAAGAAGACTTTCTAACTCAGATCCTGGGGACTCCAAAGCAAAGAGTGGCCAGTACGTTCTGTCCTACTTTTCTCATGTATTGGGGACTAGGGGCCACAAAATCATGACATAATCAAAACCGAGGGCAAGGGGATCAGATATAAATGAGCCAAGTCAAGCCCGAGCTGGGACCATCTCCCTGGTCTCCCTCTCCTGGGATCCCCACTGCCCTTTGTCTCTACCTGTTCACCCACCTCCTCCTGTCAGCGCCCTGATCAGGCCAGACCTGCAGGCCCAGGCGGGACACTCTCCACCACAGGTCACCTGGCGCATCTTGGCTTCACTGGCGATCCTCAGCATGGTGAACACAGTGGCCAGGGTGATGCCCATGTGTGGCATGAACTCAAACACTGCGAGGTGTGGGCAGAGGTCTCAGGGCGTCGGAAGAGGAGGGTCATCAGAGGTGGCAACACCATCGCCCACACCTCCAGGGCCCAGAGCAGGGCCAGGGAACCCCTTTGCATGGGCTGGGCCACAGGAGAGGGTAGGAGGCCGGGGAGGTAAGAAGTGTGAGCTGGGAGCAGGTGAAGGGGGGGGGAGATGTGGGGGGGTGATGCGGGGGTTCAGGGGAGGGGAGATGGGGGAGGGGAGGAGGAGAAGGGGGAGGGGAGAAGGGGAGGGGACGGGGAGGGGGAGGGGAAAAGGGGGAGGGGAGAAGGTGGAAGGGGGTGGGGTGAAGGGGGAAGGGGAGGGGAGATGGGGGAGGGGAGGAGAAGGGGGAGGGGAAAAGGGGGAGGGGAGATGGGGGAGGGGAGGAGGGGAACGGGATTGGAGGGGAGAAGGGGGAAGGGGAGGGTTAAGGGGGGGATGGAAGGGGAGGGGGAAAGGGGGGAGGGGGAAAGGGGGGAGGGGGAAGGGGAAAGCGGTATGGGAGGGGGCAAGGGGGAGGGGAGAAGGGGAAGAGGGGAGGAGAGAAAGGGGAAGGGGAAAGGGGGAGGGGAGGGGGAAGGGGAGGGGAGAAGAGGGAGGGGAAAGAAGGGGAGATGGGGAGATGTTTACCCTTCTCTCCCTCCCCGCTTCCCCTGCCCTCTTCCCACCTCCCCTCCCCTATCCCCACCTCTATCTCCTCTCCCCACCTCCTCTCCCCTCCCCTCTCCCCACCTCCATCTCCTCTCCCCTGTGTCTACCAGGACTGGGAAGGAGATGAGGGAACAGGAGAGGAGGGAAGGGGAGATGGGAGGGGGGAGGGGTAGGGGTGGGGAGACTCGTCTCCCACCATTCCCCCATCTCCCCTCCCCTTCCCCTTGTCTCCCCTCCCCTCCCCATCTCCCCGCCCCTCTCCCCTCCCTTGTCCCCTCCCCAGGTCTCCCCACCTCTCCCCTGCCTCCCATCCCCTCTGCGGAGAGTGAAAAGGAGACTGGGGGAGAGGGCAGGGGAGATGGGGAGGGGAGAGGAGACAGGGGGAGGGGAGACAGGGGAGGGGAGGGGAGACGGGTGGGGGAAGAGGGGAGGGGAGACGGGGATAGGGGAGGAAGACCTGGGGGGGAGGGGGGAGATGGGGGAGGGGATGGAAACGGGTGGGAGGGGAGAGACCTCACCGCCCCGTCTCCAACTCTCTCCCCATCTCCCCTCCTGGCTCCCCATCTCCCCTCATTGTCCCTCCCCTCCTGTCTCCCTTCCACCCTACCCCCGTCTCCCCTCCTCTCTCCCCATCGACCCTGCCCCCCTGGGAGAGGGAAAGGGAGACAGGGGGAGAGGAGAGGGGAGCGGAGACGGGGGTGGGGGGAAGAGGGGAGGGAGAGGGGAGAGGGAAGGGGAGGGGAGACAGGGGAGGGGAAGGAGATGGGGGAGGGGAGGGAGGCCTTCCCCAGTCTCCATCCCCCTCCCCCGTCTCCACCCCTCCCCTCCTCCTTCTCCCCTCCTCTCCCCTTCCCTTCCCTCCCCCACCCCTTCCCCAACCCCAACCCCGCCCCTCTCCCCCTCTCTCCATTCCTCATCTCCAATTCCTCTCCTCCCCCCTCTGTCTCCCAGGACAGAGAAGGAGATGAGGGGAGGTGGAGATGAGGGAAGGGGAGTTGGGGTAACAGGAGAGGAGACAGGGGAGGGGAGGGGAGACGGGAGGGGAAGAGGGGAGGGGAGACGGGGATAGGGGAGGAAGACCTGGGGGGGGAGGGGGGAGATGGGGGAGGGGATGGAAACGGGTGGGAGGGGAGAGAGCTCACCACCCCGTCTCCAACTCTCTCCCCATCTCCCCTCCTGGCTCCCCATCTCCCCTCATTGTCCCCCCCCTCCTGTCTCCCTTCCACCCTACCCCCGTCTCCCCTCCTCTCTCCCCATCGACCCTGCCCCCCTGGGAGAGGGAAAGGGAGACAGGGGGAGAGGAGAGGGGAGCGGAGATGGGGGTGGGGGGAAGAGGGGAGGGAGAGGGGAGAGGGAAGGGGAGGGGATACGGGGAAGGGGAAAGGAGTTGGGGGAGGGGAGGGAGGCCTTCCCCAGTCTCCATCCCCCTCCCCCGTCTCCACCCCTCCCCTCCTCCTTCTCCCCTCCTCTCCCTTCCCTTCCCTCCCCCACCCCTTCCCCTACCCCACCCCCGCCCCTCTCCCCCTCTCTCCATTCCTCATCTCCATCTCCTCTCCTCCCCCCTCTGTCTCCCAGGACAGGGAAGGAGATGAGGGGAGGTGGAGATGAGGGAAGGGGAGATGGGGTGACAGGAGAGGAGACAGGGGAGGGGAGGGGAGACGGGGAAGCGGAGGGGAGAGGGGAAGGGGGGAAGGGGGAAGGGAGGAGGGAGGAAAGGAATGGGGGAGGGGGGAAGAGGGAGGGACAGGGGATGGGGAAGGGACGGGGGAGGGGGACAGGGGGTAGGGAGGAGGCAGGGGGGAGGGGGCAGGGGTGGGGAGGGGACGGGGGAATGGAGGGAGGGGGACAGGGGTTGGGGACGGGGCGGGGGAGGGGAAGGAGGGGGGAGGGGAAGGAGGGGGGAGGGGAAGGAGGGGAAGGCGGGGAGGGGGGAGAAGAGGAGAGGGGAGGAGGAGGGGAGAAGAGGGGAGTCCGGGAGACCGGGAGACCGGGAGAGGGGAGGAGGAGCGGAGGGACGGAGGAACAGAGGGAAGAGCCCTGCTCTTCCTGGGCCCGCAGGCAGCAGAGTGAGGAGGCGGGGCGTGGGCCGCCCTCCCAGGCCGCCACCCCCTTGTTGCCTCATAAGCACTCTAGCCTGACGACCAGAGACCGGGGGTGAGGCGGCGGGGACGCAGGGGACAGCCGCGCGCCCTCTCCATGGGGACACTCCGTTTTCTCGTGTACCGGTTCCCAGGGGCTCCTGACCCGCGGCCACTGCCCGCCGCAAGGCCCGCGTGGAGCGCGGAGCGTGGAGCGGGCTCAGAAGGGAAGGAGGGAGGGAGCGAGGGAGAGACCAGGGTCAGAGAGGGAGCAGGAAAGACAGGCGTGCCAGAGAAGGGCCGGCAGGAGAAAAGACGCAGGACGGGGCACAGGGAGGGGAGCTCAGCGGCCGAGAGGGCCGGAGAGACACCGGAAGTGAGACGGAGGAAGGCCGGAGGAAGGCCGGAAGAGGGAGACACGGGAGCGGGCGGGCGCGGGCCCCAGGGCAGAGGCGGAGGGCTGGCCCGGCGGGCAGACGCTGGGGCCCAGTCCCCTCGAGCCCTGCCGTTGCCGTTGGCCAGCTTGGCCAGGGTGACGATGACAGATTCTTCCGTGAGGTTGAGGGGTTTGAGATGGTGCTGCAGCTCGTACATGACCAAGCTGAAGTGGTTTCGGGACAGGGCCACCAGGGTGTCGCTGGCCACCTCTGCCCTCACGTAGCCCTCCATCTGCAGGGCACGGGAGGAGGACACGTGGCCGCCCCAGCAGTGCCTGCTCCTCGCCTGCTCCGGCTCCGCTGGGCCCTCCTGGGCCCCCTCAGCCTACTGTTGTCCCCGGGAGCTCACCGGACAGAGGCCTCGGGCATCCCACCGGCCCCCCAGAGCCCAGCCCCTGGGGCGGTGGCAGGCGGGCAGGGCAGGACCCCCGCGACCTCCAGCATGCCCCTCATCTCCCTGGAGGCGATGGCCACCAGCCTCTGGACGGAGCGCTCCTCCTCCTGCTGGGTGAACTCCTGGAGGATGTTGTAGATGTTGACTTTGCGCTGAGTGGAAATCTGGGGAACAAGTATGATGGGTGGGGAGGTGCGGGACAGGCAGTGGGGCCTGGGAGCCCGCAGATCCACCGCAGTCCCCCTCCTGCTGGCCCTCCCCCTAATCCCTAGGAGACTGTGATTTGTAATAAGACGTGTCTTTGGTCTTCACTCAAGTGCAGAAGCCTGAAATCCTTGGAATTTCCTAAGTAATGAGAGTGACAAAGATGCCTTTTGTTGTTGTATTAATGAGACGATTTTTGGTCCACACCTAAGGATGGGGAGGGCTTCCCCGGTGGCTCAACAGGTAAAGAATCTGCCTGCCGTGTGGGTGTGGGAGACCTGGGCTCGATCCCTGGGCTGGGGGAAGATCCCCTGGAGAAGCGAATGGCTACCCACTGCAGTATTCTGGCCTGGAGAATTCCGTGGACTGTGTAGTCCATGGGGTTGCAAAGAGGCAGACAAGACTGAGTGATTCTCCCTTTCACTTGAAGGATAGGGAATGGTTGGCA